GAGCCTTGCTGTTCCTCACTTCCCTCTTTTGCAGCAATGATTACGTATGTTCCCTCCTCCCAGGATTGGTGTGACGGTTACATGAGTTAAACTATGTGAAGAATCTAGAAATAGTTTTCACACAGAGACAGTGCTGTGGAAATTTCAGCCATTACTGTCCATCATCATCGCTGCCATCTTCAGTGCTATCATCCGATTGGCTTGTCCTTCCAGATCTTTTCTGTGTGATTACAGTCTTCTCTGATACTTAGAAATTAGAGGGGCACCAAATTCTCTGACTCAGTGCAGAATGGCCACATCAAGATGCGAACTTGGCCCAAACTGAGTATTACCATGAACTCCTATGGAGATAAGAATGAAGTATTTATCAGGCCTTTCAGTTTTTAATGGAATTTTATTAAAATTTAAAAATTATTATTTTATTATTAAACATGTTAGTAGTAAAATTAAAAGTTTTTGACATCATAGTTTAGGAAATTTCACATTATAGTGCAAGGATTCTACTTTGCACTATTAGTTTGCTCCTGATGTTTGCCATAAGTAGTTGTTATTTTCAGTTGACTTTGGGAGGAGCACATTTTTTTTTTTTTGGTAATGCTGTCTTCTTTTCACTCTTCTTTATATTTTGTATTTTATGTTAACCAAAGATAATTTATTATAAAGATAAAGTGTTGTATGTAAAGACTTGGGAATCTTTCGTAGTGAAATTTGGAATTGGTAAGGTAGCGTCTTGTTTCTAATTCATCTTCAAGAAATGTGAAACCTTTCCAAACAGGACATTTAAAAAAGACTAATGACCTAAGTGGAATTAAGTAGCTTAAAAATTAAGTACTGTCCATCAGTGAGGGTAATGATCTCAAGAATTGTGGAATATCCGTGCTTGAAAAATTACACGGCTATCAAAACGAATGAAATAAGTACATTTGTACTTATTATCGTGGATGGAAGTCTCTGATACATTAATAGAGCAAGTTTCACAGCAAAAACCAAAACAAATACCAAAAAACTGTATCTCCTCCTCCGCCTGACCATCTGTTTATCTATTTGTGCACAGAAACAGTCTGGAGGGGCCACAGCACACTGTGAAGGGCCATTATTCCTGAGGAGAGGAAGTGTGGGGTGTAGGCTTTCACTTGTCACCCATTAGGCTTCTCTATTTTCTGAACTTTTAATAATAAGTATTCATTACTTTTATAATTTCTAGTAAAACAAAAGAGAGGTTCATGTCACCCCCAAATCCTTCATTTTCACTAATTGAATGAAGACATTATGTATTTTCCCTCGGTATGTCTGGACCTGTTTTTGCTTTTTAATCAGTTCTGCTTTTGGGGGGTAATGAAATCTGTCAATTACTGCTTGTTTTTGTAGGGAAAGGCTTTCTTTTCTTCATCATCGTAATGATTTCATTTCCTCCAGTACCTGAGGGAGTCCTGCATGTTGTAACCGTAACTGTAACCGTAGCGTGAACCCCCACCGCCAAGCTTCCTGCTCTAAAACTTCTAGTCTCTCACTTGGTAGCCAGGATGTCAGCTCCGCTTGTGTAGACCAGTGTGTTCTTAACTTCACATTTATTTCTTGTTTAGAATCTCCAATCCTTGAACAAATTGATTTTTTCCACCATCCTGCAGCTATTTTAATCAGAAAGTGTTTGAAGGACTGAAAGGTTATTTGGTTTTTTTTGTACCTTCATCTGCTCAGTGAAAATAGCATTATCATTTTTTCAACTTTGAAAAGTAATTACGTGAACACTAGCCAATTCAAATACAGAAAAATAGAAAGAAGGTATATAATCACCATAAATCCCATACCCAGAGAAAATATCACTAACATATGATTGATATCTTTCTAGTTACCCCTTTGTGCCTTGTCTCTGTCTTACCTAGAATCACACACACACGTCTGTTATGTGGTATGTATATTAACATGAACCACAACATATTTTCTCCCACAGTCTCTTTTTACTTAATATGTCATTGACATCTTTTTTTTTTTTAATGTTTATTCATTTTTGAGAGACAGAAAGAGAGACAGAACATGAGTGGGGGAAGGGCAGGGAGTGAGGGAGACACAGAAACCAAAGTAGGCTCCAGGCTCTGAGCTGTCAGCATAGAGCCCAATGTGGGGCTCAAACTCAGGAAGTGTGAGATCATGACCTGAGCTGAAGTCGGACGCTTAACCTCCTGAGCCATCCAGGGGCCCCATTCTTTTTTTTTTTTTTTTTTTTTTTTTTTTTTTTTTTTTTTTAACGATTTAGTTTATTTATATTTGAGAGAGAGAGGGAGCATGAGCAGAGGAGAGACAGAAAGAGAGGGAACAGAGGATCCAAAGCAAGCTCCATGCTGACAGCAGTGAGCCTGATGAGGGCTCAACCGAATAAGCCACCCAGGTGCCCCTGTCATGGACATCTTTTCACATCAAAATACATACACATCCTTTTTTTTTTTAAGTCTATTTATTTTGAGAGAGAGAAAATGAGCAGGGGAGGGGCAGAGAGAGAGAGAGAGAAAGAGAGAGAATCCCAAGCAGGCTCTGCAGTGCCAGTGCAGAGCCCAATGTGGGGCTCAGACTCCCAAACAGTGAGATCATGACCTGAGCTGAAATCAAGAGTTGGACGTTTAATCGACTGAGCCACCCAGGCGCCTCCCACTACAATCTTTTTTTAAATAGCTATATGGAATTTAATTCCATAGATATTTAACTAATCTTTTGTTGATGGGCATTTAGGTTTTTTCCAATTATTTGCTACTATAAATAGTGCTGCAGTGAAGATCATTTTATGTACATTTATTCTCAGGATAAATTCCTAGAAGTGGAATTCTGGAATCAGAGGGTTTTTATGGTCAAAACTTTGATATTTATTGCTAAACTATTTTCCATAAAGATTGTAAAAATGGACAGTTCATGAATTTTAGATCAGACTACTCCATCAATAGTAGTTATATTTATTGATTTTTAATCTTTGCAATATGATAAACAAGTTGTATATAATTTTTATTTTGTTTGATGTCTAGTAAGATTGAGTATCTACCATCTGTTTTTGGCCATTTATATGTCTTTTTTGACTTGCCTGTTCTTCTTTTGCCCATTTTTGATGCATGACTTTACTTATTTCCTTGTAGAAACAATTTGCTCTGTAATGGGCTTAGCCTGAAATCACTTGCCGAGACAGTTTTGAACTTTCCACTTGACAAGTCCCTCCTGCTTCGCTGCAGCAACTGGGATGCCGAGAATCTTACTGAGGACCAGGTACTTCTTTTGTTTGTTTGTTTGTTTTAAGTTTTTTAGTTTATTTATTTTGAGAGAGAGAGCACAAGTGAATGAGCAGGTGAGGGGCAGAGAGAGGGAGAGAGAATCCCAAGCAGGCTCCATGCTGTCAGCACAGAGCCTGACGTGGGGCTTGATCTCATGAATGGTGAGAACATGACCTGAGCCAAGATCAAGAGCTGCACGCTTAAGTGACTGAGCCACCCAGGTCCCCTGACAACCAGGTACTTCTTATCAGAGTAGTTGAAGAATGGAAGAGCCATTGCTTATGACGTATAGTTGTTTTCAAAATTGTAATCTTCAAATATAAGTATTGGGTGGAAATACTTTAAAATAGACTCATTGAAGGTAACTGTTCTATAGTATATAAATAGTACTTAAGTAGCAGAATAAGAGTGCCTATTCTGTTTTATTTTTTTGAGCATTTACTATATGGCAGGCCTTTTAGAAAATGTAATTTTTAAAATGATGAATACAAATATAATTAGAAAAACAAAGTGTTATAAGACTTATTATATAAGAATTAGTAGTTCCCCGTCTTCCTCCCCTCAGTGGCAACTGATTTCATTTATTTCTGGTAATTACTATTATATTTTTAAATTATGTACATATATTATTCTTTCTTATTTTTATATTGTCTTTGACTTCTTACTGTGAAAGACATGATTTGGTACTCATGTGTTTCCTCTGTCCCCAAATACTGAGTCCCTTTTCCATTGTCCCAATATAGGTAAATCATCATTTTTATCAGATTCATATCTACTTATATTGGCATTATTTATAGCTGAGCCACATAGTAAGCTGCAATTAAGTTTTTCCTTACACAACTTTTTGCTTTCCTAGGACTAATAATTGTACTTCTGTTTGCTTTGTTTTCTATATACCTGTTAACTCTTTCAGCCCCAGACTTTTAACGGGACCGTCCATCTTTTCTCCAGTGGTTCAGACACAGGAGGTGACTTACTCCTCTCGCTTTCCCTTGGAGCCATCCCTTCTAGAGCCCTTTGTCACCCTGCTCCTTTCAGGAGCCCTGCTGCCTAGCTCTGACCCTGGAATCTGCATTTACCATCATGCTGGGGATTCCCTTCAGCTTTCTTCTGTAGTAGATCTTCTGTCTTCCGAACTCCATGTCTTTTCCCTTTCTTATCTGGGGTACTTTAAGAAAGGGAGCATGGGAAGTTAATTTATGACACCTTGTGTGTCTGAAAAGATATTGGCTTCCCTCTATTAACTGATAGTTTGGCAGAGTACAGCATTTAGGGTGAAAATCATTTTCCTTCAGAAATTTGAAGGTACTCTTCCCTGTCTTATAGCTTCCAGTATTGATACTGAGTACGTCACTTGTTTTTCTTTCTGGAAAATCTTTACTTTATTCTTAGCTATTAAAATTCATGATGATACTAATTAGTGTGGGCTATTTCTCATTATAGCATTAGAATTCAGTGGATCCTTTCAATCTGGAAGTTCGTGTCTTTTAGTTCAGGGAATTATTTTCATAATATTTCTTTGAAAACATCCCTCCCTTCTGTTTCTAGAATTCATATTATTTGGATATTGGATCCTTGAATTGATCGGCCTACTTCCTAAGAAAAATATTTTCTCTCTGATTTTTCTATCTGTATTTTTTGTTTTATCTTCTAGGAAATTTCCTCAAATTTGTCTTCTAACATTTCTATTGAATTTTTAATAATTCCTATCATAATGTTAAGTGACAAGAGATTCTTGGTCTCCTCTGAATATTCATGTTTAAAATAACTTTGTTTTTGTTTAATGGATGTAGTATCTTCTGTTATCTTAGAATATTAAAGATTTCTGAGGTTTTCTTCTGCTTTCTGTATTGCTTTGTTTTCCTCTGAGTTCCTTATTTGAAATGTTTGATTTGGTCTTTGAATTTCACATTAAAGATTTTTCTTAAATGTTTAGATCCTTGGCTGTCCATTCATAGTTAAGGACACATTAAAAAGCTGATTGGGCACATCAGCTGATGAATGCATAAATAAAATATGGCATACCCTTACAATGGAGTATTACTCAGTACTAAAAATGATACATACTATGACAGGGATGAGTCTTGAAAACATTATGCTACTGAAAGAAGCTAATTGCAAACACATTTTGCATGACTCCATTTTTGTGAAATATTTCAGAATATACAAATCTATAGAGACAGAAAATAAATTAATAGGTTGCCTAGGGCTGGGAGAAGTGGAGGATGACTGCCAGTGGGTCAAAGGTTTCTTTTTGAGGTGATGAAAGTGTTCCAACGTTGATTATGGTGAATGGTTGCACAATTCTGCAAGTCTGTTAAAAATCCTGAATCTTGCACCATCTGTAAAAGACATTTTTGGAACAATTGGAGATGTTAGAACTGTATATTATTGTATTTTGCCACTGTTAAAGTTCTTGGGTGTGCTAATAGTGTGATTATGTAGAAGAATGTTCTTGTTCTTAAGAAGTACACACTAATGTATTTAGAGATGAAGGACTATAATAGCTGCAACTTAATGTTGCAATGTGTTCAGCCAAAAAGAAAAAAAAAAGTGTGTGGTATCCATATCATAAAGAGATAAAGCAAATGTTGACAATTATGAATGTCAGGTGGCATTATTATTTAACTTTTCTGTGAGCTTGAAAATCTTAAAAATAAAAAGTTGTGGAGAAAAAGTTAATTCCTATCAAATTTGAAACCAGATTTGTGATCCTTATTGTGAGAATTCAGAATTTCCAAAGTTTCTTATTCATGCTTTATTTAAACAGTGTTTATTTTTTGTTCTAATTATGAACATAATGCTTAATGAGATTTTAGAAAATACAGAAAATGATATTTAAATTTTAATTTAAAAAATTTTTAATGTTTATTTATTTTTGAGAGAGAAACAGAGCACAAGTGGGGTGGAGGGGCAGAGAGAGAGGGGAACAGAGAATCTGAAGCAGGCTCCAGGCTCCAAGCTGTCAGCACAGAGCCCGATGCTGTGCTTGAGCCCACAAACTGTGAGATCATGACCTGAGCCAAAGTCAGATTCTTAACCGACTGAGCCACCCAGGTGCCCCTTAAATTTGAATTAAAAAAAAAATGGATTGAGAACACAGCAAATATGGCCAGCGCTTTTGGACCAGTGGGCTTTATTATCAGTACCTACAGATTATAGTCACATGTCAGTAACTGGAACTCTTTTTTCTCAGGCTACTCAGTGTCTCCAGAAATGAACCATCTAGTCTTCTGCCAAAGGGGTATAAGCCCCTCTGCTTATATTCTGGTAGCTGAGTGGGAAAAGGTGCTGGTAGTTTTACCAGTCATTATGTAAACTTTCCCATAATCCCTTTTTCAGATGACACTTTGCCCCCACCCTCCACCAGACCTGTTGTTACTGGATCCAGATCCTCTGGGAGTTAGCCCATTATATGACTTAAACTTTTACTCTTTGGGGGGTTAGAGAAGGAGTAATTGCCAGCCCTGTGGTGTAAAGGAGAAGATCTAGGGTTTTGGTTTTTTTTTTTCAAGTTTATTTTTGTTTATTTTGAGAAAGAGATAGAGAGCAAGCAGGGGAGGGGCAGAGAGAGAGCGGGAGACAGAATCCCAAGTGGGTTCCGTGCCATCAGTGCAGAGCCCAGTTCAGGGCTTGAACTCACCAACTGTGAGATCATGACCTGAGATGAAATCAAGAGTTGGACGCCTAACTGAGCCACCCCGGTGCTTCTGGTTCTAAGTGTTCTTTTTGGAGACTTTCACCTTATCCTATTGTTCTCACCCCTGCTTGTACCCTTGCTTTCCCAGATACCTGGTGCTTCCCATTCCTTATGCTTATGTTCTGTGGCTCAAATTAACTTAATTCTTGGATTTTTGGCTTCCTTTAGGCCTAGGTTTTAGCCTTCTCTTGTTTGCTGAGTCAGTCACTGCTTGTTCACCCTTCCAAAATGTTGTTATAGAAAAGCTTTAGCACAGCTGGTACCTTAAGGTTAACATCCTTCCTGAGAGAGAGTTTTGGGAGTCATACTATCTGAATTTGTTTTTTGCAGCTGTTTCTGACTTTCTGTGACCCTGAGTAAGTCACTTCTTTGTGCCTTGGTTCCTTCCTTCCTTCCTTCCTTCCTTCCTTCCTTCCTTCCTTCCTTCCTTAACAATTTTAAGGTATAACTAACATACAGCAAAATTCAGCCATTTAAAGTACACAAAATGAGGCGCCTGGCTGGCTTAGTCCGTAGAGCATGTAACTCTTGATCTTAGAGATGTGAGTTCAAGCCCCACATTGGGCATGGAGCCGACTTAAAAAAAAAGTATACAAATCAATGGACTTTAGTATTTTTACAGAGTGGTACAACCATCACCACAATCTAATTTTAGAAGATTTTTGGGGTGCCTGAGTGGCTCAGCCAGTTGAGCGTCTGTCTCTTGATTTAGGCTCAGGTCATGATCTCACAGTTTGTGAGATTGAGACCCTTGTCGGGTTCTGTGCTGACAGCCTGGAGCCTGCTTGGGATTCTCTTTCTCTCCCACTCGCTCTGCCCCTCCTCATCTTGCACCCTCTCTCTCCAAATAAACAAAAAACATTAAAAAAAATACTTTAAAAAAAAAAAGAACATTTTTATCACCCCAAAGAGAAACTCCATATCCATTAGCAAGTCACTTCCCACCCTATGCTCACCCCCACCCTAGCACTAGGCAGCCACTAATCTACCTCTTGTCTCTATAGATTTGTCTGTTTTGGACATTTCATATCAATGGAATCATATAATATATGATCTTTTGTGATTGGCTTAATTTACCATGTTGTTGTGGGTCATTCACGTTGTAACGTTTATTGGTACTTCATTTCTTTTTATTCTAAACGATATTGTATGGATATATAGTACATTTTGTTTATACATTCATCAATTGGTGCATTGCTTTCATTTTTTGGCTATTATGAAAAATGCCACTATGAATATTTGGGCATAAAATTTTGTGTGGACACATGTCGTATGTTTTTACTTCTTTTGGGTATATACCTAGAAGTGTAGTTGCTGGGTCATGAACTTTATGTGTCACTGAGGAACTGCCAGACTGTTTTGCAAAGTAACGACATCATTTTATATTCCAGTTAGCAATGTATGAAGGTTCTAATTTTCTGCATCCTCACCAACGCTTGTTATTGCCTATCTTTTTGGTTAGAGCCATCCTAGTAGGAATGAAATGGTATTTCGTTGTGGTTTTGATTTACATTTCCCTAGTGACTAATGAGGCTGAGCATCTTTCCATGTGCTTATTGGCTATTTAAAAATATGTTATGGAAATTATATATTGTAGAATATATATTACAGAAATATCTATTTAAATCCTTTGATCGAGTTGTTTGTCTTTATATTATTGAATTTTAAGAGTTCTTTATATATTTTGGAGACTAGTCCCTTATTAGAGACGTAATGTGTAAATATTTGCGTCCGTTCTTCAGGTCATCTTTTCACTTACTTGGTGGAGTTGTTTGAAGCACAAAAGGTTTTAATACTGATGAGGTCCAGTTATCTATTTTTTCTTTTATCACTTATACTTCTGGTGTCATAGCCAAGAAATCATTGCCTAACCCAAGGTCATGAACATTTACCCCTATGTTTTCTTCTAAAAGTCTTAGTTTTTAGCTCTTACATTTAGGCTTATAATTTTTGTTTGGATCCAACTTTATTCTTTTACATGTGGCCATCCAGTTGTCTTAACACCATTTGATGAAAGTGTTTGGGTTTTCTTATCATTTGAAAACAGTGTTAAAAAGCACTTTAAGCACTTCACATTGAAGCACACTCCTTTCCTTTGAGAAACAGCCTGCTGATCCTGCTGATAGATGTGTAGATTGTTGAGTCTAGGTGGAAAATTTTACCCAAATTGTTTTATTCTAAAAGCATAACAAATCCTTCCTAATAGTATTGTTTACCAGGCTTGGTTATTAAAGGTAAATTAAAGGAATTTTAAAGTCTTTACACCCTTTGTTGGGAAAAGCTATTGATTATAGATTTGACTACTTTTATTTATGGTCAGCCTTCCTGTCACCAGTGGCTTGGGAGAATGACTTACCATTTTTAAATAAATAAATTCCAGAAATGGGCCCTTTTGACTTTTGATTTGAGGCCCATGCTTGAAACCAATTTGTTTTCCACATCTTATTAATAATGGCAGGTTGTTTCTGATTGACAGTCACACAGGCCTCTTAATGAATCTTGCTTTCAGGTGTTCTAGAGGATGACCACCTCCAAAGTGAATTTCGTGTTCTGGTTGTCAAACTTGTGGTAACTGGCCTCACCTAAACTTGACAAAAATCTGTCCATCAGGTTTGGTAGCAGATAGAAAGAAACTTCACTAATTTATATATTGAATAGGATTATTGAGCATTTAGAGTAAGGCACTATTTTAGCTATTTTAGTTAAAAACAGAGACAGGAAAGAAACATGTAGATTCATTATACTATTCGATTTACTGTTGTATAGTGTGAAATGTCTCATAATAAAAGGTTGTTGAGAAGTACATGGTACATCTTGAATTAGAATCCTAAAAATTGTCTGCATCTTTGTGATTGAGTTGGAAATTGCTTTCTTTGCTTTGCCTTCCAGATTCCACTGATCTCTGACTTTTCTCTTCAGGTAATTTATGCTGCCAGGGATGCCCAGATTTCAGTGGCTCTCTTTCTCCATCTTCTTGGATACCGTTTCTCTAGGAATTCAACTCTAGATGAGAACGACGACCACATGAGCTGGAGGGAAGTCTTGGAGAAATGCCGGGATGTGGTAGACATCCCGTTCCGAAGCAAAGGAGTTAGCCGATTGGGGGAAGAAGTTAATGGGGAAGCAGCAGAAGCCCAGCAGAAGCCCAAAAATAAGAAGTCTAAGATGGATGGAGTGATGCCAGGCAACCACCAGGGGAGAGACCCCAGGAAGCACAAAAGAAAGCCCCTGGGGGTGGGCTACTCGGCCAGGTAACTGAGCTGTACCCTGTCTGCTGAGACTCAGAGGCCCAGCCTGCAGCAAAAGGCACGATGCCTCATCTTGGGTCTGGGGACAAGGTTCTATGCTAGGATAGCAGAGGTGCTGCAGGGGTTAATTTTATTTTTCTTTTCCTTCAAGGACATTTGGAGCTGTTTTTTGATCTATTTGTGTATTTTCCTCCTTTCCCCCTTCTTTTGCTTTTTAATTTTTAGACAGTTGGAGTAGAAAGAGGGAGAACTTAACCGAGCTTTGTCACTGATCCTCATATGACCTTAGACTTGTAACTTCTCCAGTTATAAATGAGGGTATAATTATTACTCCTTCCTTGCTCGGGATAGCTGCAAAAATGAATAACATGAATTGCCTCCTACATTTCAGAAGAAATGCATCATCTGATTTCCTGTTCATTTGGTATTTGATTATTTAGAATGGCATCCAGCTCTAAGCCAATATTATTCTCTAACCAGTGAGAGTTTCTCTGTACGACTTATGCCTCTATTGCAGAAAGATGACTAATAAGTACTTTGGAGTGGAAGCTTGGTCCCTGTAGCAGAGTGCCTTTAGGAACTGGATGATTAAATTGAAGCAAGTATTGCGTTTGAGCCAGAAATAAACTCCTGTGGCCCTCATTACTTCAGCCTGAAATTCTTTAATTTTAATTTACTTTGTTTAACCCAGTGATTACTCTGTAGAGCAGTTTCTTGGTGCTTGCTCCTGTTCACTTTCACAACAGAGCTGTGTAAATACTACCCAACTTCCTGTCCATAAATATAAAGACTAGCTAAATGAACTCATTTTTAGTTCCTAGCCCCATGCAGATGGAGGAACAAACATGATTTTTTGCCCTACTTGTTTTTTCCCATAAACGTAATGTTTGACCCTAGTATCGAGAGTAGCTGGGGTCACTCAGAAGACAGCATGGGAAGGCAACTGATACCTTGACCCATGGTTAGCTTTCAGTCTTAGATTAACCTCTGCCTTCCCTGCAGAAAATCACCCCTCTATGATAACTGCTTCCTGCATGCTCCTGATGGACAGCCCCTCTGCACTTGTGACCGAAGGAAAGCTCAGTGGTACCTGGACAAAGGCATTGGAGGTTTGAGACTCACCTGTCCTATTTCATCTACATTTAGGTGCATGTGTGTCCTGGCAGGAGTGGGGAGAGGGACACGGGGCAGGGAGGGATAGAAGAAGGCAGAAAGAACTTGAGACAAGTGAGATGTGGCTGTTCAGTTGTGATTTCTGTCTGCTTAGAGACTCAGGCCCAGCCTCCAGCAAAAGGCATGAGGTCTCATCTTGGGTCTGGAGAGAAGGTTGTATGGTAGGAAAGTAGAGGTGCTCCAGGGGTATTTTATTTTTCCTTTCCTTCAAGGACGTTCAGAGCTATCTTTTTATCTATTTGTGTGTCTTTTTCTCCTGTCTCCCTTCTTTCACTTTATAATTTTTAGACAGTTGAAGAACTAACATAAGGAGAAGTTAATCTAGCTTTGTCACTGATCCTAATATGACCTTAGACCTATACGTCTTCAGTTATAATCGTGATCTCTGGTGGATACAGCAGAGAACAGTTCAGGTGGGGCTTCCTTCCTGAGGGAGAGGTAGGCAAACACTCACCCTTTTTCTTGTTCTTAAGAGCTGGTGAGCGAAGAGCCTTTTGTGGTCAAGCTACAGTTTGAACCTGCGGGAAGACCCGAATCTCCAGGAGACTATTACTTGATGGTTAAAGAGAACCTGTGTGTAGTATGTGGCAAGAAGGACTCATACATTCGGTGAGTGTGGGGTCTGGCCACCCAGATTCTCCGCCTCTGATGGAATTTGCCTTTGTAGCCACATATGGAACCCTCGGGGGCCTTGGTTGAATCTGTCCACTTTGGCTGAAAGACTTGTCCATGGCGGTCATCCCAGTTTTCCTGAGAGCTTCTGAACTCTGTGTGGCCTTGCTATAGTGTCCCCCACCTATCCTGAGACCAGTTCTTGGTTTCCGGAACGTAACACTCTTTCTCAGTGACAGTTTGCCATGAAGAGAGTGATTCCCTTTTGCTTATAGAAAGATCAGAGACCATTTCCTTCTGAAGATGCCTTTCTCTGTGTGTTCTTATAATCCTTCCTTGAGTGGCTCACAAGCTGCACCTTGGTACTATTCGTGGAATACAAGCATACCTCAGATATATTGCACCTCTAGCTCCAGACCATCATAATAAAGCGAACACCACAATAAAGTGAGGCAGGAGCGCCTGGCTGTCTCAGTCAGTGGAGTATGCCACTCTTGATCTCGGGGTTGTGAGCTCAAGCCCCAACGCTGGGTGTACAGATTACTTTAAAATAAAATCTTAGGGGTGCCTGAGTGGCTCAGTCAGTTAAGTGACTAGCTCAGGTCATGATCTCGCGGTCCATGAGTTTGAGCCCCACATTGAGCCTCAGTGCTGACATGACAGCTCAGAGCCTGGAGCCTGCTTCGGATTCTATGTCTCCCTCTCTCTCTGCCTCTCCCCCACTCACGCTCTGTCTCTCTGTCTCTCTCTAAAAAAATAAACATTAAAAAAATTTTTAAAAAATCTTAAAGTGAATGAGTCAAATGAATTTTTGATTTCCAGTGCATGTAAAAATTACATTTACATTGCACTATAGTGCAGTAACATTATGTCTAAAACAACAGTGTATATATTTTAATTTAAAAATACTTCACAGGCACTTGGGTGGCTCAGTCGGTTAAGTATCTGACTCTTGATTTCAACTCAGGCCATAATCTCACGGTTTGTGAGTTTGAGCCCCACGCTGGGCTCTGCACTGACAGTATGGAGCCTGCTTGGGATTCCCTCTCTCTCTCTCTCTCTCTCTCTCTCTCTCTCTGTCCCTCCTCCACTTGCATGCTTTCTCTCTCTGTCTCTGTCTCTCTCTCTCAAAATAAAGAAATAAACATTAAAAAATATATTAAAAAAAATACTTTATTGCTGGGGTGCCTTACTGGCTCAGTAAGTAGAGCATCTGACTCTTGATCTTGGAGTCATGAGTTCGAGCCCCACATTGGGTATAGAGGTTATATACATACATACATAGAATACTTTATTGCTAAAAAATGCTAACCATCTTCTGAGCTCTCAGTGAGTTGTAATTCTTTGCTGGAGGAGGGTCTTGCCTCGATGTTGATGGCTGCTGACTAATCAGGGTGGTGGCTGCTGAAGGTTAGGGTGGCTGTGGCAATTTCTTTTTTTTTGTTAAATTTAAAAATTTTTTAATGTTTATTATTTTGAGAGAGAGAGAGAGAGAGAGAGAGAGAGAGACGGAGCTTGAGTGGTGGGGGGAGGGGGCAGAGAGAGAGAGGGAGACACAGAATCCGAAGTAGGCTCCAGGCTCTGAGCAGTTAGCAAGAGCCCGACACGGGGCTCAAACCCATGGACCACAAGATCATGACCTGAGCTGAAGTTGGTTGCTTAACTGACTGAGCCACCCAGGCGCCCTGACAGTTTCTTAAAATAAAATGACAAGGGAGTTTGCTGCACTGATGGGTTCTTCTTTCACAAACATTTTCTCTGTAGCACGTGATGGTGTTTGATAGCATTTTACTCACAGTAGAACTTCTTTCCAAATTGGAGTCAGTCCTTTCAAATCCTGCACTGTTTCATCAACTAAGTTGACATAATATTCTAAATCCTTTGCTGTCATTTCAACAATCTTCACAGCATCCTCACCAGGAATAGATTCCATCTCAAGAAACCACTTTCCTTGCTCATCGATAAGAAGCAACTCATCAGTTAAAGTTTTATCCTGAGATCACAGCAATTCAGTCCCATCTTCAGGCTCCACTTCTGATTCTAGTTCTGTTGCTATTTCTACCACATCTGCAGTGACTTCTTTTGCCCAGGGGCTGCAGAATAGATGTGCTAGCAGACATGAAAACAATATTAATCTTGTGTATCTCCATCAGAGTTCTTGGGTGGCCAGATATACTGTCAATGAACAGTAAAATGTTGAAAGGAAATTTTTTTTTCTGAGCAGTAGTCTCAACAGTGGGCTTAAAATAGTCAGTAAACCATGTTGTAAACAGATAGGCTGTCATCCACACTTTGTTTTTCCATTTAGAGAGCACAGGCAGAGTAGATTTAGCATCATTCTGAAGGGCCCTAGGGTTTTTAGAATGGTCCATGAGCTTTGGCTTCGACTGAAAGTCACCAGCTGCATTAGCCCTTAACAAGAGAGTCAGCCTGTCTTTTGAAGCTTAAAAAAAAATTTTTTTTTAACGTTTTTTATTTATTTTTGAGAGAGAGAGAGAGAAAGCACGGGAGGGACAGAGAGAGAGGAGACAGAATCCAAAGACAGGCTCTAGGCTCTGATCTAGCTGTCAGCACAGAGCCCGACACGGGGCTCGAACCCACGAACTGTGAGATCATGACCCGACCCGAAGTTGGATGCTTGACCGACTGAGCCACGCAGGCACCCCTCTTTTGAGGCTTTGTAACCAGGCGCTGACTTCTCTCTAGCTATGAAAGCCCTGGATGGCATCTTCTTCCAATAAAAGGCTATTTCATCCACATTGAAAATCTGTTGGTTACTGGAGCCACCTTCATGAATTATCTTAGCTGGATCTTCTGGAGAACTTGCTGCAGCTTCTACATATGCACTTGCTGTCTCGCCTTGCACTTTCATGTTGTGGAGATGGCTTCTTTCCTTAAACTTCCTGAACCGACCTCTGCTGGCTTCAGACTTTTCTTCTGCAGCTTCCTTACCTCTCAGCCTTCACAGAATTGGAGAGCATTAGGACCTTGCTCTGGATTAGGCTTTGGCTTAAGATAACATTGAGGTTAGTTTGATCTTCTGTCCAGACCACTAACCTCTCTCTATGTCAGCAGTAAGGCTGTTTCATTTGCATCGCATTTATGTGTTCACTGGAGCAGCACTTTTAATTTCCTTCAAGAACTTTTCCTAGGCATTCACAAGTCGGTTAACTGGTTCCAGAGGCATAGCTTTTGGCCTGTGTCGGCTTTCCACATGCCTTCCTCACTCAATGTAATCACTTCTAGCTTTTGATTTAAAGTGGGAGACGTACAACTCTTTCTTTCACTTGAACACTAATAGGCCATTGTAGGGTTATTAACTGGCCTGATATCAATATCATTGCATCCCAAGAAATAGGGAGGCCCCAGGAAAGGGAGAGAGAGACAGTGCAATGGCCAGCTGGTGGAGCAGTCAGAACACACATAACATTTATTTATTGTTTTCACGGTCTTATATGGGCATGGTTCATGGTGTCCCCAAAACAATTACTGTAGTGACACCTGTGCTCACTTATCACAGATTAGCATAACGAATATAATAATAATGAAACAGTTCGAAATGTTGCAAGAATTACCAAAATATGACACAGAGACAGGAAGTGAAAAAATGCTGTTGGAAAAATGGGGCCAGTAGACTTGCTTGATGCAGGGTTGCCACAAACTTTCAATGTGCAAAAAATGTAAAATCTGCAGGACACAATGATATGAGGTGTGCCTGTATTTGGATGACCTGAAGGCACACTTTGGGTTTTCTCCCTGGCTTCTGTGGAATAATTCACTTTCCTACGTTCTCTTCTTACAAAGTGAGACAAATAATTGTTGCTCTTAAGAGTTTTTCCTGAGAGCTTAGTTCTCCTTAGAAAACACTGCTGGGCCTTGATGAACCATGGAAATAGTCTGAGTGACGGATTTCTCAGATAGAGGAAATTGGTTTTTTTAGGTCACCAGGCTTCCAGAATTTCAGAAGTAGAGGTTGCCTGCTACATGCTTTGAGAGTTATTTTCTAGATATTAAAGGCCATTAGTATTTTTTTTTTTTCATTTCTCTGATACTCTTCCTTCTGGGAATACAATCTTGGCAAAGGTGGTTATTAGCCTCCCTCTGCCATTGGCCCTCTGCTGGCTCTTGAGGGCAGGTGGTATGAACCTACTTCTAGGAGAGAGGAAACTAAGGCACAGGTAGCTAGGCAGGCCGAGAGTGGAATAGGTTGTACTGCCTGTATGTAATCTCTGTTGGACTGTGGTGCCCAAGGCTTCTCAGTCATGTTTAGGCCCAGATGAGACTCCAGTAGCCCGCCTGCTAGCTCCACATGTGTTCCGTGTCATCTGCTAATGAGCGCTGCCTTCTGGGTGGGCTTGGCAGGAAGAACGTGATTCCACACGAGTACCGGAAGCACTTCCCCATTGAGATGAAAGACCACAACTCCCACGATGTGCTGCTGCTCTGTACCTCCTGCCACGCCGTCTCTAACTACTACGACAACCACCTGAAGCAGCAGCTGGCCAGGGAGTTCCAGGCCCCCATTGGCTCTGAGGAGGGTCTGCGGCTGCTAGAAGACCCTGAGCGCCGGCAGGTACGTTCTGGGGCCAGGGCCCTGCTCAACGCGGAGAGCCTGCCTGCTCGTCGGAAGGAGGAGCTGCTGCGAGCCCTCAGAGAGTTTTACGACACAGACACAATCACGGATGAGATGCTTCAAGAGGCTGCCAGCCTGGAGACCAGGTACAGAAAGGGTGGAGGAGTGACCCAGAGCACTGACCCTGACCACTCGGTGAGGTTGCTTGCCAGGTCGGGGGCGAGCATAGCCTGTGTCATCCCGTTACATGTGTAATGGCTTAAAATACCACGGGACTGGGATAGTACAATCTGTTTGAGAATTTCCTTTCCATAGGAGACTTGTCTTCTGTCATTAACCCTTTTAAGGTCATATATGTCCAGTCATTTTCATGATTAGCAGGTGAGTTCAAGTGCGGTGGAGTTGTGCCTTAGAGATTCTATGCAGAAGGAAATCCTGAAGTCAGCACAGAAGATGAAAATCATACTCAAAAAATATCCTCAAGTCTCTGAAGTTGCCCACGAGTACGGTGTATGTGGGGTTTTTTTTGTCTCTCACCGTATCCAGATCGGTGGGAACTGAGACCAGGGGATTCATGTTTGCTGTCTCACCTGGACTCAGGGTACTGGCCCATTGAATGGAATATTGGCTCTAACCATTTAAGTTACTCTTCTCCTTTTCCCTTCCTTCTTTGCTCCCTCCTTCCCCACGAGTATATGGTTGAACTTACAGGACTTAACTCGGTGTTCCCAAAAGAGAAGCTTATGGTTCTAAGAAATGAATGGGTGCATGGCTGAGGTGAAAAAAATTCTGCATCACCTGCTGTAGTTTTGCTTACCAACTGTCTCTTTTCCAGTCGTACTAGGGATTGAAATAATCGAACTGATAAGTTCACCAAACAGAATGCGATGCTGTTTGCCTATAGAGTTTTGTTACCAAAAAATCTTAAATATAGCAGCAATTATCAAACAAATATTTCTAGATATCTTCATCTATTTAACCCAGCTAATAAACTTTCTATAAGTTGCCTTAATTAGTTCTTATAACAAACCTATGAAATAGGATTTAGATTTCTTACTGGTAACTGCTCACATTGTATCTTGCATTTTTTTAAATCTTTCAAAGTTAATAAAACATTACTGAGTTTTATTCTTATAGCTACCTTGTGAGTCTGTAAAGTAGATGTTATTTTCCAAGCTTTATGTTAGCTACCCTGAGGTAAAGTCAAATAACTTGCCAGGGTCCTATGAGAAATTAAGGGGACGGGTTCCTTTAACCGGTTCCCAGATGTATTTGCTAAAACAGGCAAACTTCCCCTTTCACCACAGACCTTTCTAACAAATCACCTGCTGACTTGGATAGAAGGATGCTGGACTTGGATGTCTGGGACTGGGAAGAAGAGCTGTTTGGGGAAAGATAGGCTAGTTAGTGGCACTCTGGTGAGCTAAGCAATAGTGTCTGCAGACCCCCGGAGGGCACCAGCACTGCTAGGATGGGGAGGGGGTCTTGAGAGTAGGGCGTGGATGCGTGGAGGGGAACTGAGTCCATGGGGTACCAGCTTCCTTGAGAAAATTAGCCTTTCCTCACAGGAGGTGAACACACTGTTCGCATGGCAACAGAACAGTTTTTAAGGCCTCCGTGCTTAGGAAGGAGGCAGGGATTCATTTTCCCATTAAACAACACCAGCTGCACAACTGAATATTTCATGGGACTGAAACAGGTCTCTCATGGATGTGGTTTGGCGTTCTTTTTTTTTTTTTTTTAAGATTCTATTTTATTTTTTTAAAATTTGTTTATTCTGAGAGAGAAAACAGCATGAGCCAGGGAGAGGGAGAAGGAATCCCAGGCAGGCTCGCTCCATGCTATTCGCACACAGAGCCCGGCGTGGGGCTCAGTCCCATAAACTGTGAGATCATGATTTGAGCCGAAATCAAGAGTAAAATGTTTGTTTTTTTTTTTTAATATATGAAATTTATTGTCAAATTGGTTTCCATACAACACCCAGTGCTCATCCCAAAAGGTGCCCTCCTCAATACCCATCACCCACCCTCCCCTCCCTCCCCACCACCCCCATCAAGCCTCAGTTTGTTCTCAGTTTTTAACAGTCTCTTATGTTTTGGCTCTCTCCCACTCTAACCTCTTTTTTTTTTACCCTTCCCTAAGAGTAAAATGTTTGCTCTTCAGAGCCACCCAGACCCCCTAAGTTTTTTATTTATTTATTTATTTATTTATTTATTTATTTAATCTATTGCCATGAATGCATGCTTGTTATTTATTTTTGAGAAGGCGTGAGTGGGGGAGGTCTTGGGAGGGGTTCTGAAGGATCGAATCAGGCAGCCTGCACGGAAGCCAAGAAAGCCTGGCGGGGCTTTCGAACTCACAAACCACCAGAGATCACTGACCTGAGCAGTTGGATGCTCCAACAGAAACTAAGCCAGCCAGGTGCCCAGGATTTGATTTTAGTAATCTGTACACCCAATATTGGGGCTCCAAACTTACCTCTTAACTCCCAGATGAAGGGCTGCATGTTTCCACCCACTCAGGCAGCCACTTGCACTCATCTTTTTTTTTTTTTCAGTGAAGGGGTAGTTATTGACACAGGGCCACACAACATTACATTAAGTTTCAGGTATCACGACAGTGATTCAACAAGTTTTATATGTTATGCTGTTCTCATCCCAAGGGAGTAGCTACCATCTTGTGACCAAACAAACTCACAACACCAGTGACTTCCTGTATTGCCTATGCCGTATGGTTTGGCATTCTTTCCGTGAAAGAAACACTAGAAATATTACTTTCCCTGCCACCACACTTGCCCATTCAGGTATTACAGTGTTGATGTTATGAAAAAAAGTGGAACATGTGGGGTGATGTATGGTTCAAGAATGAATAGACAATTAAAATTTTTTTTTTGTTTATTTTTTTGAGAAAAAAGAAGGGCAAAAACAGTGGGAAGGGCAGAGAGAGGAGGGAACACAGAATGTAAAAAGCAGGCTCAGGCTCCTGAGGACTGTCAGCACAGGGCCAGTGACAGCGGGGCTCAACTCACAGACCAGGTTGACCATTGACCTGGAGCTGAGAGTGGGAGGGCCAACAACCCAACTTATTGAACCACCAGGCGTAGAATGAATCGGCTAAAAGCCTTATGCCGTAAATTAACAACAAAACCAACATTATTCTTTACCTTATCCGATCAAGAACACAAAAGAATAAGGCTTCTTAGTAGTAAAGGCTGGCGAAACCATTACAGAAGAGAACCTCCCACAAATAACTCAATATCCCAAATACTGCCTTGTATTTGGAGTGTGTACATATAATAAACCACTTCTTTAAAAAACGTGCAAAGAGAGGAGAAGATGTATTTTTTTTTTTTTAATTTTTTTTTTTTTCTGTTATTGTACAGGACGAAAGGCAACGCGCGCATAAAACGGGGAAAACGAGAAGGAACACAAGGCATCAGAAACAGAAGCTCAAACTCTGAAGCCATCAGCAAAAAGAAACTACGAGGAGAGCTCAAACTTCTACAGACCACTGAATCGTGGGCATGGCTGAAGTCGGACGCTTAACCGACTGCGCCACCCAGGCGCCCCTGGGAAGATGTTTTTAAAAACATTAAAGTAACCAACCCTTTAGAAGTCCAGCAACCTCCTCACATGCCCTTGCTGAAGCCCCTTGGCCCGCAGCATTTGGAGCTGTCTGTGAGACCATCCTGTGCTTGTTTTCCTCAGACCCTTGTACTTTGTGTCTTGCCAGGATTTCCAATGAAAACTACATTCCTCACGGGCTGAAGGTGGTGCAGTGCCACAGCCAGGGCGGGCTGCGTTCCCTCATGCAGCTGGAGAGCCGCTGGCGTCAGCATTTCCTGGACTCCATGCAGCCCAAGCACCTGCCCCAGCAGTGGTCAGTGGACCATAACCATCAGAAGCTGCTCCGGAAATATGGGGAAGACCTTCCCATCAAGCTGTCGTGATAGCCGCTTTCCTCCCAGGTTAGGACAGCTGGGAAGCTGAGCCAAGGTGGGAAAGTCACCTCTTCCCATGTCATTCATTGTCAGAGCCTAGTGTCGCAAGTCAGAATGCTAACCCATGCTGATCCCAGGATGCTTCTGGTGGAGCAAGGCTGTTGCTTCCAGGGGAGCTTACGGGTTTGAATTTTAGTCGGGCAGGGTGAGAATTCTTTTTCCCTCCCTCTTATTTTATTTTTGTGGACCAAAGGACCTTGGCCTTTATTTTACTTTCTTTCTTTTGCTTTCCTTGTACGGACAGCAAATGAAGGATTCTTCCCTGAAGTGACTTGTCAAGTTGCTCAGGTTTTTAATACATCTCTTCCCTGTGCAGTATGTTGGTTTTTCTGAAACAGGGGCAGTCGAGGATTTTAATCTCATCGGGTTAGGAGGGGAGAAAACGTTCTTCCAGAGGTTGGAGGGTCAGATTTGTTTTTCCCAGTTCAAGCACATCTTCGTGATAAATTCCTTGGCTTCATGCTCTCCCACGACTCACCTGGTTGAGATCCATCCCATCTAGGTCACTTTGGTTTATTTCCATACTTGAGAATGCTCCCGTTTCCACGTCCAGGACCACAGCAGCGACTTCCTGCCATATGCTTCCACCCGAACACTGGAGGAAATCCTTTTCTGGAAGTAGGCCTTGAAGCTGGCTGGGGCAGAGAGAAGCATAAGCAACCACCTCGCAAGAGAACTTTGATACCTGCTCAGCTTTCCCTTTCATGCTGTTTGTTGTCTGTTTGTTGTAGTCCTCTTGTCCAGAAGTGCAAGGTTTTTAGCTTAATCCCTTTCTGAGAGGAAGATTATCTTCTGTCAGAAGCAGTGTCAGGCCCCTTCCGTGTTCTGTGTTCCATCAGACTTGTAACACTGACCTCTTTTAAGCACTTAATTCTCTCCTGGAGTCCTTTGGTCAGGTTGCCTTGTGAGGATTTGTCCACCTCCCCTCATGCCTGGGACTCAGTTAATACGTTCAGATGTTCAGAACGGTGGCGTTTCATCTTTTTATGTGAGGCCACCACTTTGAGCATGAAATAAAGTTTTAGTAGTGATTAGTATTTTTTCTAAAGTTTTAGGAAAACTTTTTTACCTTATAAGATCTTAGAAATTTGAAAAAGAATTTTATGGCCAGAATCCAACAGGAGCTGTTTTGAAATCGTGCCCGAGTTGGTGATGGTTGTTCTAACACTGATAAATAAAACTTCTTCTAAGCACAAAGCTCACTGATGGTAAATGTAAACCTTTTTTCTTCACAGCTTTATAGAATTGGTAACTATTCTTGGGGGAGGGGATATTTGCCCTTCAGGTCCCTGCCGTGGGGGGGGGGGGGGGGGGCAGGGTGTGCCCAGTGTGTGCCCAGACGCACCATACAGTGCGGCCGCAGCCCATCCCCGAACGGTCTGCAAACGAGTGAGCACATCTTGCGTTTTGCTCCTCTGCCCCTGCATTCCCCTTGTCCTCAGACAGGCATTTCTGGGATCTCAACTGGAAATCCTTGAAAATGAACAGTACCTTGGGGACGGGATGTTCGGTGCGGTTATGATGGGTTATTATGGGGCATGCGTGGCAGTGGCTGCACCCCATGCTCGGGAGCCCCAGTGGGTGGAGAACCACAGAGACTGAGGGGTGGTCAGCAGAGCAGGCAGTCTTGCCACCAGGTGGCACTCATAGATTTTGTTTTATATTCATTCTTGAGAAATAGGGCTTTTATACATAGTTCCTGAACATAACTGATGACTTAGGTTTCCAAATTTGTGGTAGCTGATTTGGGGTCATTTTGATAAGTTTACCAGAAAAACTTCTTCTTCTGAAACAGGGAGGAGGGCGCTTTCATTCTCTTTTCCTGGGATCCTCATGCCAAGAGGAGAGAAACACATACGAGGTCATTTAGGTGCAGCAGTTGCTGTGGGAAGAAGGAATCAATCCTGCCAGCAGACCTTCCTGCGTGGGCAGCCAGCCTAGAGGGAGCAGCTAGCCCGGCACACGGGATTTCTGCTCCTTCTCACAGGTTACAGTGTAGATCTGACTCTTTGTTCTCTGAGTCAGCCTTGGACTGCAGCAGACTTTGCCTAAGATGGTTGTGATCTCAAATGAGATATCTTATGGTAGACATATTATAGAACAAATATTTATTGGTTTTTGCTGATAGAAAAGTAGTGTATGTTCGTTAGAGCTGAGTCTAAAGAAGGAATAAAAATCACGCATCTTCCCTCCGTCTAGAATAGAGCTGACCTTTGCTGGTATGTCCGTGACTTTCCTTTCACTAGTTAAAAATGCAAACGATAAAAGCAAAATTCAGAGTTATACGTATATACAGCTTGGCATCGTGTTTTTTCCCTCTCACTTAACATGGCATCACAAGAAATTAATTTCCTGTGAAAGATTCCTGGTGGCTCTACCTTACTTTAGTTGTCCATTCCCTCACTGTTGAAAATTATGGTTGTTTGAGATCCTTTGTTAATGGCAGAGATACTGGGATGAGCTGTCTTTTGGATAAACCTTTGACCATACCTTTGATACTTTCCTTAGGATGGAATCCTAGAAATTGGATGGGGAGGCAAGGGCTCACATGGCTGGAGTGAGGATCAATCGATACCACCTTTTAGGAGTATATATCAAGGGACTGCTTCTCTCTGACCCTCTAGCTCGTGTCCCAGGGCACTTGCTGTGCTTCCATGAGAGCAGTAGTGAGAGGACAGGGTCATGGCAGGGGCCTCTGTGAGTGTGCCGTGATGGTTGTATTTCTAGGCTCAGAGTCTTTTCTCTGCTTCCCCTTTGTCTCCCGTCCTTTACTGACTCATTTCCCCTTACAGTCAATATTTTTTGGAAACGCTATTTGTTTTAAAATAAAAAAGGTAAAATAAAAGTTACAGTTCTTTTTTTGTGTGTGTGAAACACAAGCAATCAGAGATTTGCTCTCCTAAAGTGAACAAGGTCCAATACTTAGGGATTTGTTGCTTTTTAAGCGTGCAGCCGTAAGTTACTTATTCTATCCACATCATGGATAGAGATCCAATGACAAAATGTGTTCTGTTGAAATAAAGCCGTTTTAATCCCTCATTTTAGACTCTTAGGAACCCGCAGGCAGAAAGAGCTTTTGTTCAGCATTCTTTACTACCTGTTCATTTGGAGCCCTAACATCTGACTGTAATTCAAGTTCTTGGTTTACTTTACCTCTCTGAGTTTTTCATTCATTCATTTATCCTTTCCTCTTTTTTTTTTCCCTTCATTATGTCTCATCCTCATGAGAGGTATCACTCTTTACTTTTAAAGAAGATAGTTTCTCAGTCTGCTAGTTTACTGATTATTACATATTTTAAAAGGATCCTTCTTTCTGATCTTTTGTCTTTTCTGTTGAGTAGTGGCCATTTTTAGAGTACCTAATCCTTTGGGAATACAGTGAGAATCAGTCTTTCTTGGATGAAATAAACTGAAAGAGGATGTAAGAATGACCTTGTTATGATTGAACTCTTGGTCCAAATAACATACACATAATGCATAGTCCCCTGAATACTTTTGCTTTGGAATTCTGTGATACACTGTATGTATTCACCAAGTTGTCTCCTCGTGCTGGAGCCTCATACCTTCTGCTTGTCCCCAGTCCTGCAGCAGTTTCACATCAGGTGATGGAGCAGGGCTTATATACAGCCGGATAGCTTACTTGTTCAAATTACCTATCCTGCCAGCCTGCTAGGAGATGTGTTAGTCACCCCCTTTGCTTGAGGCACCAAGGCCCTTGCTTTAATGCCAGGATGTTATTTGGGAGGGTGAGAAGCACATTAGACTGTTATTTCCATCTAACTGGCTCTGTCTGTGGCCCACTGTTGTTGGAGGACCCTAGATACGGTGGGTTACTGGACCAAGTGAGTAATCATTTGGGGGATAGTCAAGAACTGACTTCCTTTGCATCGGAATAGGAAATGTCAGAGGACCTAGTTCACCTATCCTGGGTTGTATCCTCTTCTAATGTAGTGCACGCTGCCTTAAAAGGTCATTCTCTGCTCTGAATGGAAGTAGTTAATCTCCTACCCTCCAGACTGAACTCAGACCATTTGCCTTCCTTCTGACTTCCTTATTCATTACTCGTTCTTCCATTTTCCTCTTGCGAAATGGTTAGTCTGTTGCCTTTCTGCCTGCATAAGCTCCAAAAGTTGCTGAGTTTGAAGTCAGCATTATTATAAGCATGATGTGTGGTCCAGAATATTCCTGAGTTAGAGAGGCTAGTTATATTCTATTCTAGCTTCCCAAAGATCTTCCTTTTCAGGCTTCAACATGCTGGGGCAGAGTTGTGATTCTGACTATTCAGGCCACCAGAGTATCCATTAAGTCCTGGATAAGAACCAGACATTTGAGTTTAGTAAGCTAACAGCTGAAAAGAAATGGGAGATTAAGACATGGCCAGATTTAAAAGAAGTATGTTTATTTGGTTAGTGGGTTGATGGGGGTGTATCCCATGGACTTAACTTTCTCTTTTGCTTTTCCCTGTACTCAGTTCTGTCGTGCGTTGGCAGGATCAGAAGAGTGGGCTGGTGACCTGGGGTTGGGTTCTGGCCATTAGCCATGTATCTTTGGACTAATCGCTGAACTTTTCTGGACTCCTTTCTTTGCCAATAAAGTTAGAAATTGAAATTACATGTGCTGTAAGGGCCCTCCTCACTGTAGCATCCTGTAACACATCCCCCGTTTCTTATGTGGTACTTTCCCTTGGGAGCTGTGTACCTTCTCCTTTGTTGCACACCCTCATCTTGCCCCTAGCTCTGGAAATGGAGACTGTGCATGGAAGGGGCGGGGGGGCGGGATGAGGAAAGCAGGATGCTACGCCGTGTCCTCCTGGCCTCACTGACTAGAGAGAAGCCCGCTTCCTCCATCTGGTGCTCCCCCCTGGAGCTGAAATACGTTTCTCACCAGAGATGTGCTGTGTGCAGCCTTAGGGAACTCACATTTCTACTTAGTTCACTATTTAACAATAA